ACCTATGATGAGGACTGAGACGTGAAGTAGAATTGTGTAGGGGTTCAGTTCTTTCAACTGTTTGCTTACCAACTGTGACTTGATTTAATCACTTGTTCTTGACAGTCGTTTATGCATCTAGTTCAGGGTATCAGAATGTGAGATAGAGCATATAGGTAGTCATGTGAGATTTGAGCCTGCTCGTTTCTTTCTTGTGCGATAGATCCCTCTTCAATGATGTGTAGCATTCACGTTGTCACTAGCTAAGATGATGGGGGCATAGGATTAGCCCACGACCAAATTTGATTGTCCTGATGTGTCATATCCCCTAGTTAGCCCTTTGAGTCGTGTGTTATCCTTTCTTTTGGTCTGAAATGAAAAAAATCACCCTTTTGCATCTTTTAGAAGGTTCCACAGAGTGGTTTTTACATATTCTCTGCTGTTTCTGCTAAATAATTTACTGTGAGTGTTGGAGGTAGTGCTTAAAAGTTGGGCTGGGCATGTGTTTGAAATATGTGCAGAAGTGGTGGCTCTCTTAAGAAATGAAAAGAAAATGAAAGAAAAACAAAGAACAATTGAAAGCAAAGAGAGCCACTACCAAAAATCTGAATAATGCCCAGTAAGTAGTGTTTCTTAGCAGTCTGGCTTGGAAATGCTGACATTTATACCTCCTTCGCTCTTGTGCTCTTGAGATATTGAGTAATGCAGAATAGCAGAAAGGAAATACCGGTTTGTTTGACTGTGATTGTGTGGGTTTGGAAATGTGGAACCTTGTGCTATGACTACTTCCACCAGCTAAAAGGCCTTTTCCCCATGTCCAAGACCCTAGCCAGTCATTTGAACCTGTGTCTAAGACCTCTTGATTAGTTAGTGGCGACACCCCATATGTGAACTCTAGCATTTAGAGGCTGCCATCATGGTGAAGAGATGTTAGGTATTGATAGAAATAACATGCGCATTTTTCGAATCAAATTGTCCTGACCCCACTGGTCGAGAGTGAGTGATTCATTTTTCATATTCTATATACTCCCGTACCCCGGTGAGGACCTAGATTGCTCGGTCTCTATTCTGATGTCTTGAGTTGGATGCATGAGTTGACTGTTTTGAGTAAGTGGTTGAGTAAAGTCTAGGTTGGTTGGTGAACAGAAGGGAGACTCTTCCTTTACTCGATTTTGCTGCACTCGAATGTCCTTTGTGGTGGTTGTCCAGGTTGCTATTGAAGTTGCTCATGTGTTGATGTTTGAAAACCAGTACGATTCACGTGTTCTGTGCCTTTATGACTTGTCCCCAATGTTGGTTGATTGAAATATGTAAGCTTACCTTGTGTCTGACTTGGTTTGCTTGGGGACAAGAAAACGGTTAAGTGTGGGGGAATTTGATAGCATCGTATTTGCACGTGTTTTCACTCTGGTTTCCTGTCCATTTTAGCTTGAATTGATTGTTCCTTGGCCTATTTTACGCTAGGTTGTGTTGTTTTGTCGTATTTCAGGTCCTAGCAAGTAAAGAGGTGTAGAGGCGCAAGTTTCGGGTCATTTGGAGGTCAGATGGTGATTCGCAGGACAAATTACGGGCAGCCCCTGCCAAATTACGACCGTAATTGGTCAGGGTATGCCCGTAAAACCAATGCCGAGCCACTTTTGCCAAGAATTCTTCTTGGCACTAAAATTACGGGCAAGCATCCACCAAATTACGACCGTAATTAATGAAATACTGGCGGTAATTGTGAAATTACGGGCGTAGCTCCTCTTCCATCAGAGTGAAGTGAAACGCGCATTTTGGGCGAATTACGGGCAGGCCGTGATAACGGCCGTAATTCTGCCCGTATTTCGCCCAGAGTCGGGTTTTTGAAGGCAGATTCGAGCCAAGGAAGAGGAATCGGATTTTTTAGCCAAAAATAGAGCCCTAGAGAGAGAAAGGACAAAGAACACATCCTAGAAGCTATCTTAGAGCTGTGTTTTTGGTTCCCAAACACCCAAGGGACGAACCCTTGAGAGAGAGAGCGACTTGGGAACATTCTTGGAGCTATTTTGGGGGATTTCTTTGCCATTGGCGCTCGGGAATCAAGCTTGGAGATGGAGATTGAAGAACTAGATCAGATTTCTGCAGTCTCTCTCTTCTCTATGGAGCAACTTCCCTTCACTTAGGTTTTGAGGAACCCTAGTTCCATGAGTTAGGATCTTTCTTGTATGAAGTTTTGAATGCTATATTGTTTGATTATAATCGAATGATGCATGTTTATTGAGTCAATTGAAGTCTGATCAACTTTTCCTGATTTCTGCTGCAACCTGAGATAGATAGAATCTGATTAGGTTGTTAGAGCCTCATCATTCGGTAGTAGGAGATTGGTTATACGAGAGTTAGCCAGTTTACTGCTTTGTACTGGAATCCAATTCCAGTAGTGGAGTTCTGTGCTTATTGCTTCAGCTTTCTATCCCGGTGAAGACTAGTCGTCTGTCGGGTAGTTAGACTGAGAGGGCTTGGTCAGCTTAAGAGATTCCAAGCTACTGTCGGATCTTCCGCAGTTTAATCAACAGTAAAACAACCAAAAGGAATTACAACTTGGACCTAATGGAGGATCTAGGGGGAATCATACCTAAGTGAGTTCCCAAACTGTAATTAGTAGTTTTACTTAGTTTAGTTAGTAGAGTAGTTTAGTTAATCAATCCTTAATCTAGTTTGCTAGATAATGAACTGAAGCTGAGTAATAGTAACTCTAGAGACCCGTGGATTCGATATTTATTACTTGTGCCACTATACTGCAGTCCCTTTCATTGGTTACACTTGGCCATTTAGGTGTTGTGTTCTAGAGCATCACATACCCCCTAGTCAGCCCCTTGTGTCACTTTCCTTTTTTTCGGTTTACAATGAAAAATCAACCTTTTGCATCTCTTAGAGGTTCCACAGAGTGGTTTTTGCATGTTCTCTATTGTTTCTGCTAGAAATAATGTGAGGGTTGGAGGTAGTTCTTAAAAATTGTCCATGTGTTTGAAAAATGTGCAGAGGTGGTGGTTCTCTCAAAAGAAAAAGAAACAAAATAAAAATAAAATAAAGGAAAGCAAAAGAGAGCCACCACAAAAATCTGAATCATGCCCATTAAATAGTGTTTCTTAGCAGTCTGGCTTAGAAATACTAACATGTTGTGACCTCCACTCTGGTGCTCTAAAGAATGTGATTAATGCAGAATGGTAGAAAGAAAATAATCGGTTTGAATGATTGTGACTTTGTTGGTTTTGGAACTGTGGAACCTTGTGTTATGAATACTTCCACCACCTGAAAGGCCTTTTCCCCATGTCCAAGATCCTAGCTAGTCATTTGAACCTGTGTCTAAGACCTTCGGATTAGTTAGTGGTGACGTCCAATATGTGAACTCTAACATTTAGAGGTTGCCGTCATGGTGAAGAGACGTTAGGGATTGAGAGAATAAGCATGCACATTTTTCGCATCAAATTGTCCTGACCCTACTGGTCGAGAGTGAGCGATTCATTTCCTTATATTCTTTGCACTCTTTACCCCGATGAGGACCTAGATTGCTCGGTCTTAATTCTGATGTCTTGAGTTTTATGCATGAGGTGATTGTCTGGAATAAGTGGTTGAGTCAAGTCTAGGTTGATTGGTGAACAGAAGGGAGACTCTTCCTTTACCCGATTTTGCTGCACTCGAATGTCCTCTGTGGTGGTTGTTGACACGCTAAAACACAACACCTAACAATGGCCAAGTGTAACCAATGAAAGGGACTGCAGTATAGTGGCACAAGTAATAAATATCGAATCCACGGGTCTCTAGAGTTACTATTACTCAGCTTTAGTTCATTATCTAGCAAACTAGATTACGGATTGATTTATAAACTACTCTACTGACTACTCTACTAATTACAAGTTGTGAACTCACTTAGGTATGATTCCCCCTAGCTCCTGAATTAGGTCCAAGTTGCAATTACCTTTGGTTGATCTACTGTTGATTAAACTGCGGAAGATCCGACAATAGCTTGGAATCTCTTAAGCTGACCAAGCCCTCTCGGTCCAACTACCCGGCAGGCGACTAACCTTCACCAGGATAGAAAGCTGAGGCTATGAACACAGAACTCCACTACCGGAATTGGATTCCAGTACAAAGCAGTAGATTGACTAACTCTCATATAACCAATTCACCACCATCAATCAAGGAAGCTCTCTTAACCTAATCAGATTCTATCTATCACTACAACAAATATGGCCTATTAGGACAAAATTTTTGTTTTGTCATTTTCTGTTTGTCACAATAGGTAAGATGATACGAAAAAAATAATATATGTCATATTTGGTATGCCTAATGTGACAAAAAAATTATGGTCAGAATAAGTCGTCATTTAAAGTGAGCAAATGTGACAAATATTTCGTATCACAATTAATTTTGTCAAAATAGGCGTCCCTTATCGGGATATAAGAGACTCAACGGTGACAAATTTCTGGTTGTCAGAATATTTCGTCATTTGAAGCGAGTAATGTGACAAAATTTCATGTCACAATTATATTTGTCAAACTAGGCATCGCACATCGAGATGGAAGGGACACAAAAGTGACAAATTATATTGTCAGAGTAGCTTTTGTCATATTATGCCTTCCTAAATTGTTTAAATGACAAAGTATTTTGTCACAATAGATAACAATAATCACACGACGAGCTGACAAAAGGCATGTTCGTCATAATATAGTGGTTTCATTTTTTACAAAAGGAATTTTCGTCAGATTTGCTTGGATTAGACTGAAACCTCGTGTTAACCTAAAACCAATCGGTCCGACCGACACATTTTTTCCCCCACCCAAATTTCAGTCCATCCCAAGTTTTAAAATTTGTACCGTACCGGCAGTTGAACCTCTATATACCGGTACCGGAGCCAAACCCGTACGGTAGGATTAAAAGGGGGGAATACTGTACCAGCTTGTTTTTAGCGGTTGAACCTCCAACCCGCTTAATACCGATCAGTTTAAATTGTACTGTTCAACCCGTGAACAAATAAAAAAAACGAAGGAAACTGTAGCCCCCAAAACGAAGTCGTTTTATCAACTAAAGGGAAATATAAAAATGTGCCGTCTCCGCGTCTGCATTGCAAAACCCTATCTTCTCCCACACCTGCGCGCAACCAGCCTCAACCCTCCCCTTCGTCTCTTTGTTCAAAAGAGCAGGCTGCTCTGCGATCAAGCCGCCACTATCGGCGATCCCGCCACCCCACCAACGGCGCGAATCGCCAGCCCTACCTGTCCACCGCGACCAGATCTGCACCGCGACGCGAACTTTACGACGAGCCAAACTCCAGCGCGTGCCTCCACCACAAGTCAAACTCCACCGAGATCTTCCACCGCCGACAGCCACCCAAGATGAACTGTGAGCCTCCACCGTAGAAGACTCCTCAGGTTTCTCAATCATCCTTTTCTCATATTATTTGACTCAAGTTTTGGGAGGGTACTGATGCTATTCCTTGCTAGTTTCTAGTTTGGTAGTTATGAACTTTTCAATTTTGCTTGTTCCTCTGTTTCTTGTCCAATGGATTTTTTTACCTTTTAAATTATTTATGTATTTGTTTTCTATGTTGAAGGTATTGATGTTGGGCGCTGATGAGGATCGACAGGTTGATTGTTGTGTTGGTGGTGGTGAGGTGGCGAGCGGTGGAGGCTTGAGGCACGTTGTTGTCCGATCTGGGTTCAGAAGGTAGAGCGACGGAGATGGTCGATTCGCCTTCCCCTGCATTTTATGGGTGTCAAAGGGTTCTTATTATCGGGTTTGGAGGTTTGATTTGAAAGAAGCTTTATGGATTTCTGGCAGGGGCGGCGATTGGAGAAAGTTAAACCAAATTGAAATTGTGATTTGTTCTCCTCGGTGGTTTAGTTCTTGGATTGGATTGAGGTGTTATGTTTTTGCGTTTTTTGTGGTTTCTGAAGAAGATCCGTTTCTGTGGATTCTTACAAAAAAAATTAGAAGCGGAAGAGACATAAGGAAGGGACCAGAGAAAAAGAGCAGTCGCTGCTCTGTGAGGGAAATTGGAGGTGAATAGTTGCAGTGAGGGTAATGTAAATAGTTGTAGCTTTTAGATTATGGTAAAATTGCCATATAGGACCTATAAATAAATTACATTTCATTATTTCAATCATCTAATTATCAAATCACTATAATTATGTATATAGTCGTCACAATATACAGTTATGACAATCAGGCCAACGAGCTAAACCGGGTTAACAACTTTGCTTGTGACAAAATATAGTCGTCACAATATACAATTATGACAAAATATATTTGTGTAATATGACGAACAATTCTCCTAAAATCACTAGATTATGACAACCGTAATGACAAAATATGTCGTCATAACATCTATGCTTGTCACAACAGACTACCTAGAACCTCAGCTATACTGAAGCAAATGTGACAACCTTATTTTCAATTTTTGTCATATTTGACCTACCTTGACGGCGATAAAATGACAAACCTTTGTGACAACACATTTTGTCATATTATACATAATATGACAAAATGGGTATCTAATATGACAAAATTGCCTCGTCATAATAGGCCAATTTTGTTGTAGTGTATCATAGGTTAAAGCAGAAATCAAGAGAATTTGATCAAGATTCAATTGACTCAATAAATCATGCCTCAATCGATTATAATCAAACAATATAGCATCCAAAACTTCATACAAGAAAGATCCTAACACATGGAACTAGGGTTCCTCAAAACCTAAGTGAAGGGAAGTTACTCCATAGAGAAGAGAGAGACTGCAGAAATCTGATCTAGATCTTCAATCTCCATCTTCAAGCTTGATTCCCGAGCTCCAATGGCGAAGAAATCCTCCAAAATAGCTCCAAGAATGTTCCCAAGTCGCTCTCTCTCTAGGGTTCGTCCCTTGGGTGTTTGGGAACCAAAACCCCGCTCTCCCCTTTCCTTTGGCTGAAAATCAAGTTTTAAACAAAAATTCCCGATCACGCGACCAGGCCACACGGCCGTGTGGCTTTCCCAGCTGCCCATGTGAAGGCTCGGTGATTTCCACACGGCCACGACCCACACGGCCGTGTGGAATTCCAGGATGTCCGTGTGGCTTGCTCAGCCTCTGTTTAATGCTTCATTTCTCCCTCGTTCGGACACCGAATCAGTCCCCGTTTGATCCCAGACGCTCGTAGTCTCGTCCTCTTCCTTTTCTTGAAAAGATTGCATGATTATTTGTCCATAAAGTGAGGTAGAAATCCATTCTTCCTCAGGTCATGCCCAAGTTTCTTCTCCCGAATCGTCAATTGATCTCTGATTGATTTGAAACTTGCGCCTATGCTTCACTTTATGTGCTAGGACCTGAAATGTGACAAAGGAACACAACCTAGCATAAAATAGGACAAAGACGCAATAATTCAAGCTCAAACAATCAAGAAACAAAGGGGAAAACATGTGCAAATACCGAGTCATCAGTTGTCCAGACTGTTGTTGAAGTTTTCAATGTATTGATGTCTAAGAGACAGAGTGATTCTCGTGTTTCGTGCATATATGATATATCCCCAAGGGTTGCATAGTTAAAAATGTTTTGAGCTTACCTTGTATCTTACTTGGTTTGCTTGGGGACAAGAAAACAATTAAGTGTTGGGGAATTTGATAATGTCGTATTTGCACATGTTTTCACCCTTGTGTCCTGACCATTTTGGTTCGAATTTGTGGTTTCTTGGCCTATTTTACGCTAGGTTGGGTTATTTTGTCATATTTCAGGTTCTAGCGAGTAGAGGGAGGCATAGGCGCAAGTTTCGGGTCATTTGGAGGTCATTTGCCGATTCAATGTGCAAAATACGGGTGTCCCCTGCACAAATACGGTCGTAATTTCTTTTGCCCCTGACCGTAAACAGCATGCCGAGCCCAACCCTTGAAGATGTCTGTCGAAGTGCAAAATACGAGCAAGCACCAATGTAAATACGGTCGTAATTGCTCTATTACTGGCAGTATTTCGAGAAGGGCGACCATATTTCCTCTTCATCAGCGATAAGTGAAACACACATTTTGGTAAAAATACGGGCAGACCATAATTACGAACTTATTTCTGCCCGTATTTCGCCAAGAATCGGGTTTTTGAGGCAGATTCGAGCCAAAGGAAAGGGAGACGACTTTTTGAGCAGAAAACAGAGTTCTAGAGAGAGAAAGTGAGAAGAACAAACCCTAGGAACTATTTGGACTGGATTTCTCACCATTGAAGCCAGATTGCATCCCCAAGAGTGAAGATTGACATCCCAGAGCAGATTATTCCCATCTTTATTAGTATAACTGCTTTGATTTTTGTTTTCTTCTCTCTCTCTCTCTTTATATATATGGAGTAGACCTCTCTCTCACTTGGGTATGAAGAACCCTAGTTCCATGTGTTAGGGATATTGTTTGTAATGAATTTTGGTTTCTGATACTGCTTGATTATAATCGATTGATGCATGATTCATTGAGTCAATTGAAGTCTGATCATCTTTTCTTGATTTTTGCTGCAACCTGAGATAGATAGAATATGATTAGGTTGTTAGAGCTTCTTCAATCGGTAGTAGTGAATCGATTATACGAGAGTTAGTCGATTCACTGCTTTGTACTGGAATCCAATTCCAGTAGTAGAGTTTTGTGCTAATTGTCTCAACATTCTATCCCGGTGAAGAATAGTCGTCTGTCGGTAGTCTGTCCGAGAGGGCTTGGTCAGCTTAAGAGATTCCAAGCTACTGTCGGATCTTCCGCAGTTTAATCAACAGTAAATCAACCAAAGGTAATTACAACTTTGACCTAACTAAGGAGCTAGGGGGACTCATTCCCGAGTGACTCTTCCCTTGCTTAAGAACTTCGAACCATTTCCTGCTTTCTTACTGCTTTAGCTTAAAATCACATTCACTCAACTTAGTCTCGCTAGATTATAGATAATCACGGAGTAGGCACCCCAGGTTGATAAATTGAACTTGCCACTACTCTGCATTTCCGGATTGCGATTGCACTTGGTCGCAATTTGGTGTTGTGTTTTAGCGTGTCACCTTCCTTTTTTTCTTCTTCTCCTCCCACCCTCACCTCTCGCCCGAGAGAAAGAACACCATCGCGCAGCAGCCTCGACTTCGTCTTCCTAAACATCCACGCCCAAAGCAGAGACGGTCGCGTCGCAGAGAGAGACAGCCTCGCCCCAGACTGAGGCGGCCGGCAGAGGCCAGCGAGGTCGAGGTCGTGGAAGCGGCGACCGCTACTGAGGTGAGGTTTTCATCGATGGTGGCCGGAATCTTGCCGACGGTGACCGGATTCTCGCCGGCAACGAGGTTTTTTTTAATATGATTTTTTTATGTTCTGATTAATTTTTTTCAGTTCCTAGGCTTATGGACAGTTATTCCATGAGACCACCTGCGACAATTGATACAACTACGGTGGATCCGGTACTTCTTTGGGGGCATGGTCACCATCGTATTGACTCAGTTTGGGAAAACGAGGTAAGTCTTCAAACTATTTCTATAGTTTTTTTATTAGGTGAACTTAACTGAAATTAGAATAGAATAGAATTACGCATGCAATATATATTAAAATTAGAATAAGTTTAGATTAGATATATAAATATTAGGTGAACTGAATTTAGAAGTACGCATGAAATTGAATTAATAGAAGTTTTGGGCATTATAGGCAGGTGATCAACCTTACCATATTCGAGGTACGAGCAATTTAGTCACGTATCATCCACAGTATCAGACGTACCTGGTCGAGGCGGGCTTGTTTACGGTTCTGCCATTGGTCCCTATTACTACTAATCCAGGTTTGAGTACTACGCTCGTAGAGCATTGGCGGCCTGAGTCATCGACCTTCCACATGTCGTTTGGTGAGGTGACGATCACTTTAGAGGACGTTGCGACACTAACTGTCTAGCGATCGATGGTGATGTCATCATAGTAGACATATAAGACAGGGACTGGGCGGATACATGTCTTTGACTGTTAGGATGGGCCCCTACTGATCTTTCCGGCGGTGTCATTAGGATTTTTTGGCTTAGGGATACATTCGATGAGCTGCCACCAAATGCATCACTAGAGACTACAGAGCAGTTTGCACGAGCTTATGATCTATCTATGATGGGAGGTGTACTATTCCCCGATCGGTCTGGAGGTTCAGTTCATCTATAGTACCTGCTCTAGGTAGAGGATTGGCGTAGAGATGGGAGGTTCGCCTGAGGAGCTGCTGTTCTATCCTACATGTACCGTGAGATGGGTAGGTCGATGTTGCAACTGTCGTAATCCTCTTCACTAGGTGGTGACCTTGGTGGATGGTCCGCCTTACTGATGCTTTGGGCGTGGAAGCGATTTCCTCATACAACACCACTACATATAGAGACGAGGGCGCAGATTACCGAGGATGCATTCCCACGTGGTGTTTGATTGCTTCCGGCCCAAACCTATCAGCATGGTGATCAGTTCTTCTCGTACAAACTGTGGTTTGATGAGAGCACGACCTTCGTGGTTAGTATATAACATTTCGTTTTATAGAATAGTTTTCATTGGTTTGTTTTAGATTTAGGAGTAATTATGTGACCAATTTTTGTGTTTAGTGGCGTCCTTACTTCGAGAGAGCCCCAGACTTCAGCGGTACTGTGATCCAGTACGACTTGTTTCGAGGAGTAGTTCCACTGATATGT